CACATGTGTTGCACGTGGCAAAAGGAGCTTGATGGCTGTGTGAGGACACACTAGAGAGAAATAAGGTGGCAGTTCAGGTTGCCTCATTCTTTAGACTTATCTATGGGAGAAATCCTGAGTAGTTTGTGCCTGGTTACTCAAGCAGTGGATTTTCCCATATGGTGTGAGACATAGTATGCAGTTGCAGCAAGAGAGCTGCCACTGCACAAATCCGGGAACCACAGGACAAGCTTTAAGTAATGTGCTTGTTTGTCAAAAAATGGTTGTGTTCATTGTCCAAATAATCTTAAAATGTTTTAAAGGAAAAAATCAGCAGTGAAAAAGCCCTGTCAAAAATTACTATGCTTTATCAGAGGAATAAAGACCTCACTGATCCCTTGAAAAATTAATAAATCAAGGACAAATGTAATTGAAGTTCAGTATCTGAATAAGCTACTGTTGTCAACACCCCGGTTCGGCCATATCACTGTTTTGTTGACATTTTTAATGCTTTCTGTGGATTACAGGTACATAACCAGTATACGAAAGCTTGTTAAGCCTCCACGTGCTCAACCCAGCCCTAGCTTTAATGCTGGCTCAGTGCAATCCCTGCTGCTGGCACAAACTCTGTGGGACTTGAACCTTGCAGTGCTGGCCGTTGTGCTTCTTGCTAAGCATTGTATGGACTTACACAAGAGTGTTTTACAGGTTTAGGACAAATTTGTGACTGTCCAATTATCTCTATGTAACTTTTTTAAGAGAAGCCAGCCAGGCTTGGTTTGTTTGGGGTTTTTTCCTCAGGATCCTGCAGTATCTTTCTGTAAGTAGTGGGGAGACGCTTTCAGCCTGGCTTCCAGGTCTGGCAGGTATTACCTTTCCTGATTAGCAGAGAGGTCTGTGCACTAGCCCTTTCAAACGGCACAACTCTTGTATCCCTCTCTCCTGGTCCCCTACAGTGAATTTAAAGTTCAGAATGTTTTTTAAATGCCTCGATCTTATTCCCATTTGGGTAAAAACTGTTACAGCAGCTTCCAGCCAGACGCAAATTAAAACGTTGCTTTTGAAAATTCTTCATTCGCAGACCTTTCAGCTGTGCACTGCTACTTTAATTTTGAACTTGTTTTGCAGACTGCTATAAGTGTGAAGTTGTTGATAGCGTATCTGTCTTTTCCTTCCTTTCATTTAGAGGAAAATAATAGATTATGTATGAGCACCTTATTTTATGTTTTGCTCTTTTTTTGTCAATTTTCCTTTTCATTCATTGGCAGTTGCAATTCTGTGACCCTAAAATGAAACAAAGTGATTTTCTTTCCACAAAAAATGACACTTGCATTGCATCACGCAGAAGTATTTTAGTGTAAGTGTCCACAGCGTGCATGTGCAGTTTTATCCCATCTTATTTTTAAGTGGTTAGCTCTGTATAACTCTGGTTCACAATCCTACTCCAAAAATACCTGGGGATTTATCCTTATCATATTGCCCGGCTAACAGTAAGAAATAGGCTCAAGTGGCTCAGTATGGATTAGATTCACCTCTTACACAACAGGGTAGCCAGGGTATGCAAGAGCCAGGGAGAAGCCAGAGACCTGCCTTGGGACGAGATCTGTCCTCTGCGGGCCAGGGAATCCCTTGGCAATATCCCTTGCATACGTGGAGAGTACCAGGATGCTTCCCACCAACTTCACTGGAAGAATGCTGCGCTGGAAAGGCATTCATTTGTTTACAAAGGCCAAGATAAATAAGGTCTAGAGGTTTCTGATACTTATCTTAAGTCACCCAAAGTTTTAATTACAGGTTTTGTAACCATAATTAATTTTTTTTTGGTTCCTTTTAAGATTACCAGCTGTGGCCTACTTGGTAAACAGGACAAGTGTCTGCACTTGTTTCTTCCCAATGTGGCTGAACAGCTCCAGCCCATGGGAAAAGCCCCCTTGCCAGCTCCCCAGAGGGATATTTCAACAGTTTATGGGATTTTTCTGCCATGTTGACAAGGTTCACTGAGCCTTCTGCTGGTTTCACCAGTTGTTTTTCCCTCAGCGTCAGTATGCATCTCTTCCCCTTCTCCACCATTCCCTCCTTTCTGCTCACAGATTTTGATTCCCCAAAATTAAATACCTTCCCTGTTCCAGACCTGTAGATCAGGTTAGAGGGATGTCTTGACAAACACCGTATATTTGTTCTTGTGTCCTGAGTTGTCCTCCTCCTCCTCAGTTGTCCCCGTTCACCCTTGCTCACCAAGTTCTGGCACCGGCAAATGTTATGATCCTTTACAGGCAACACTGGGAGTTCAGGTATTTGGTAAACAGCTATACCATAGCCCACAGTGAGGAATTTGGGTTCCACATATTGGCTTGTGAGTCTTCAGACAAAGATATATCCTGGTGCAAAAAACTTTTTGGGTGTTCTCATGGCTGCAGCAGCACCACAGTAATTAAATTAGTAGCTTATTAATTGTGTTTAGCAGTGACGAAAAAATTGAGCTTTTTTCCTAGATATTTTGTGCAGTTTGGAGAATAAAAAAAGGATTCATAGGATCCATAAATGTTTGGTTTCCTGCTCCCACCACAGACTGAACTCCTGCTAGGTCAGTAGGGAGCTGGAGAGAGATACTATCTGAAATTATTTGATGTGGCTCTGCAAGCAGTTCCTAGGTTGGGCACCATAGAGAGTATCTTCCTCAAGTCTAAAACTACTGCATGCTGTTCTTCAGCAAGCTGCATGTGGTTGGGCTTTATAGTACACTTCCTTGTCAGGTATTATCACACCTATTTTGTAGCTAGATAAACTAAGACATTTGTCCAAAATAACTCAGACAGCTAGAAAAAGTAGCCCAATATGTGCAGTCCTTCTCTTGAAGGCACATTAAGGTTTCCTGCAAAACCCTGGGCTTTCATTGTGCTCAACTACCCTGTAAGACCTGGGCAGAAGGAAGCAGTAAACTCCCTTTCATGAACAGTGGAAAGTTCATTCCCAGATGAGACACATTATATTGGCCCTTCTCAGCCCTATTTGTCTGGATGTGAGAGCCTTTTGTCAGCTCTCTGCACAGTGACTCATCCCCCGAGCATCATGTCCCTTGTAAAGACAGGTGTTCAAAGCCTACCTTCCCAAAACCTGATCTATAACTCAGTGAATGCCAGCTGATAACCAGCTTTTGAGTCCCACTTCAATTTCCACATCCCCACCACCCCTCAACATGATGAAACACCAAATATTTGTTCTAACGTTAAACCCCAGCTATGATTTAAAAATATCTATAGGCCATACCTATAATTCGGAAAACAATGACTCAGATCCAAAAGTGCCTTTTCTCATAGAACTCTGAATATCCAAAGGTGAAATAAAGGGTGAGCTAGGTTTGTTAGAGCTGGTTTTTTTTTGGTCAACTATTCAGTGTTGCTCTTCATTATTTTTTTTTTATCCTTTAGAAAGCTTTAAAGCCGCCCTGCATAACTGCCTCTGCCTCATTCACTGCTGAATGGACGGTGCGCTGATCTTTTTCTCGGTGGGTAATAGATTTGGGTTGATTGCTTGACACAGGAACAATAGGGGGATAAACAATTGCATCGGCGCCTGTGCAGCTCCCCATCTGTTGAGTGTGTGCGCCTTCGGAGGGAGCCAGGCAGGGACAGATGAACACGCCAGCCGAGCCTGATGTTAAAGACATCAGTCATACAAGCAGAACATGTGGCATAATAAATCAAAAACTAATTGAACTTTTGCTTGTTTGTATTGCCGTCCCACTGCCTGTTTCAAACATGGCATAGTTTCCCGGGACAATGCCCCCAGCCCTGCAATGGCTTTGCTGCCCCTGGACAGCAGGAGGCTGCCCTGGGAGGTGGCAGGTGATACCAGATTCTCTTCATTCATTTCTTTCTTGAGACAGTGACACCTTCCACTCAACCAAAATGCTTACAGGGTTGGGATGTGTGTTTGACCAATATTTATTATTTCAAAAAAGAAACGTTACATGAATGTGACAGTGACAGCCCATGTTTGCTGGCACTTTCCATCTGGGACTGTTGGTGGCAGATGTCTATAGGAGACAACAGCACTAGTTTTTGTGTTAATTACACACACGTGCTAGTAATGAAGGCTATTCATTAGACTGATAAAATTTAATATCATTATTCACACTTGAAAGTGTTTCTGCTGCATCAAATGCTGAAGTCTGCAAGCCAAAGCTTTGTCTTAGGTGACCATGGCAGCAGTAAGTCACCAGAAGTTGAGGGGCCTGATTTTCATAGATATGGAAAGGGACAATTTCTAAGGGGAGCGTTAAGGAATTAAAAGCTTTGGCAAGAAGACCCTTTATTGAAGTGCACAAATATGGATTTAGGCCCCAGAACCATCAAGTCATGTAGGAACCCATCTATGGCTGAGCCACCTGCCCTCCCTCTGCAACAACTAAAGTGCAGGGGGCATATAGACCTATGTACATCCGCCTGACGTGCTCTTCTTTGGTCACCTGCATTTGAAATTTTGCACTGAAGTGCCCAGGATTCAGGTATTAGTTTATGAACTTAGAAGGTAAAGCACAAAATGCTTTTCTTAGTACACCTAGAATCAGCTCCCCATTATATGGGTGGAGAAAATTTTTATGATAAATGTGTTAAAGTGCACAAAATATTAATTCAACTTATTTTAAAAATCCTTGCAGTACTTCTGTAGACATCTGTTTGCTTACACATTGGCTGCACAGAACAGACTTTAATTAGCAGCCATTTATTGCAGAGGATTCTCCAAACTGGTAAAAGGAGGCATAAAATAAAATGCTCCTGAGTAGAGGCTTAAGTAACAGCTAAATTAAATCTTTGCATTAATAGTATTCACAGAAAGGCAGATGGGAGCAGAAAATGTTGCAATGAAGAATATGGAATGAGATGAGATCACAGCATCAGTCTGTCCTTTGTAGATTTGGACAATGATCACAGAGCCAGATTGGATTAGTGAAACCTATTTACCAGAAGTTCAGAGCGGTTGCATGAAGCTGAAAGGCAGTCAGGAGGGAGAGGTGGAAAATGCACCAGATTTACAGCTGCAGCGACGAAAATTTAGAAGTTTTCACCACTGTGATTTCATCCAAATGTGAGTACATCAAAACTGCAACAAGCGCTACGGTGTTGTCTTTTAGATGGATGGGGTGTTTAGCATCAAGGAGATCTCTGAAGTGAGCAGCTCCTCGATTCTGCCATGCCGTGCTTGCAGTCCTGCGCTCGCTGCTTGTTTCTGGAGCTAATCCGTGCAGGTGCTTCAGCACTGTGGCTGCGTAAAATCTTTGAGCTGGCAAAATTGAGAGATCTGGAGTCGATGTTGATACACCTATGAGGTAATTGCTAAAGTGACAGCTTGCAACTGTGTGGCTATTCTGTGTAACAGAAAAGAAAATGAAGTTCTGGGAGCAGTTCGCAGCTCAGATGAACTGAGTGAACTGCGTGAATGTTGAATTTAAGTCTGTGGGCTCAATAAGTGGAACATTTCCAAAGCCATGCCCTGGAAATGAGTTCATGATTAACATTAATTGCTTGTAATGAAGAGTAAGAACCGGACAAAGCCCAGTCTGCATTTGATTGAACAAATTAGTTTAAACTCAATGGCTGCATATTTCAGCAATAAGAAAGCAGGTAAAAGCAGGGAAAACAAATTGTGGGGCCAGATCAGATCTTTACTTGCAAGCTGCGAGCATGAGCTTTCAGCTGCTTAATTTCAGAACATAAGTGGAAATGACAAAGTGAACCATCGCTGTAATTGTTTTTGTTGCCCGAAAGCCGGGCTGTACATGCAAACATCCTTTTGCAGGCAAATCCAGAAACATCATCTGCAAGGATTCATTCTTCCTTTCCTGCTCCCACCCTCTGCAGAAAATCACGTTTGCAGGGAGAGCCCTGCAGCCCCACTGTTTGCATTGCTGCCATTGTGTTCCTGCGCAAGCAGGTCACTTCTGGCTACCTCCATGATTCACTCTTCATTCAATGGCTATTCAAACAATTCCATGTTTGCCGGTGCTGTGACTTCCCTTTCATGCCTTGCCTTTCTTCACTCCCTGTAAGCCATTTGCCACTCGCTTTGGCAGACAACAGTCAGTGGACTGTGGCTCACACCTACACAGAAAATATGCAAATGTAGTACTGTCATGCACATTCATGTGTTGTTTATTGTGCCCCAGCCTGGGTACCAATAACAGCACAACAGTATTTGCTTCAGGTAGAAATCTATGTAAACTGTGCCCCTCAGACTCTCCAGTAAAATATATAAAATACCAGAGAGACGATAATTCCTTGCATTACTAAACTTTTCTGCACTTGAGTGTTTTGCTTGTAAGCGACTAGTTTAGTCCTCACACCATGACATTCTAGAAGTAAAGGTGACTGCAGCAACTTCAAAAACAAGTTAAAATACATTCCTGGGAAAAATTCATTATGTTTGTTTGGTTTTCGCCCCACAGCTTACCATGGTTTAAAATATAAAACGTGTCCTACAGGAGAAGACAGTAGGGATTCCTAAGGATACCGTGCCATGCAAAACAGATCGTAATCAAACTGACAGCTTAGCACACTCTCAAGCCCTATACAGGCAGATAACATACTTGTGCTGAGGCCAGTGTGGAAGTATCCTGCGCTGCAGGGACCCTGGACAAAACTGATCACCTCCTATTTTACAGTCCTGTTTCACTATGGGTAGAGCGTAAGCTAAAACTTTTCTTTCTATCCACTGGAGTCCTGATGCTCAGCACTTATATCCTCACTGGGGTACCGAGGGGTGGGTTTTAGACAAACACAAGCTGTCTAGGAAGATCAACTTTGGTCCCACTGCCAGCTCTGCTTGTACTGGAGCCCTGGAAAGCCTGGCCACTTGTTATTCCTGCCATCAGAGGACAGGAGTTTGGCTGCACTAACAAGCAGCCTTGGATGACCTCCAGCTGCTTCAACAGCTTCAAAACTCTTTGCAAACATTAATACATAGCAGCAAGAAGCGCTGCAACTCCTGAAGTTTGAATGTATGCCAAAAATGTAAAGGAAGGCTCACCTGGAGAACAAAAGTCACCCGTCATCCTGTAACAAACCTTCCTGGCTCTTCAAAACCTTTGGATTATACATGGAGCCTGAATAGGAAACCCCCATTCACGTGCCTTGCTCTCAGGGTCAGCCTTTAGAATTGGAGTTAGTTCTCTGAATTTGGCACGTTTTTGCAGGCCTATTTCTGTCACTGAATTCTAAATCCTGTAGCTCCTGTAGCCTGAACACAGGAGAGGGTAATAATTTTAAACAGCAAATGACAAGACACAATGAGAGGGAGAGCTGGGAGTGTCACAGAGTCTTTCAGGCCAGTTTCAAGTCAAACTGAAACAAGTGTTTCAACAATCTTCGCTTTGTCCAAAAAAACCCCTCACCCAAAACCAATTCCTTCAGTCCAGTCAAAAGCTTGGCTTATGGTCATCTTGTGTGTTTAGGGGCTAGTGATTCTGTTTTGCCTATGCTTTTGGTGTCTTCATGGGCCTAAGAAATAAAATTGAGAAACAGACTTTAAGCAAAATGCCTCAAGTTAAAGAACCAAATGGGTCATTTTGAGGATTGAAAAGAAAAGACTAGGCTTAGTGCAAATGTTGTTCTTTGGACGCCACGAAGTAAAAGTGAAATGACATCACGACATAGTCTGAGCTTATTGAAAAAGTCCCGGTCTAGATAAAATGATAGGCCTCTCCAAAGTTAATGTATGCACTAGTCATGTTTGAAGGTCACTGCATGGAAGGAGAAGCTCATTTCCTCCTGAGACATTGGCAGGTGGGAGGCCAGATCCAAACTCAGGAAGGAGAAGGACAGTTCCTCTTAGAAGGCTATGGGACAGGTGCAGAAACTTGGGGAAGGCTGTTGCCCTGTGCCCACAGATACCTGTACAGTATAGCTAGAGCAAGGTCTCTGAGATGACATTAAAAAGGACTCTTCTTTGGGTTGTTTCAGCTGGAATCCTCCGTAAAATCTTTCTTCTTCACCCCCTTCCCCACAGTGCCCTCAGTGTATTCTCAGGGAGGACTCCTAGAGAGATGTGTAACCTCATCTTGTCCTGCACCCTGACCATGTTCCTGTTCTTATTTCTGCAGCATGTAGTCCTGCCCGAAGACGAGCCAAAAGTACACATCACGTCCTAACAAAGAGTGTAAGAAAAATCTCTCTTCTCTCCCTCTTTTTTTTTTTTTTTTTTTAATTCTAGTTGGCTACACTTACCCTTAAAAATACTGTGGATAAATGGGAAGCAGATCTTTTGGGGCAAAGCAATGCATCAGTCTCTGATGCAAGGAGTAGGGTGGGAAACAGAAAGAGGAGTTTCTGTAAAGCTACAGTTCATTTACGGAAGCGCTTCTACCAAAGCATTCCTTCTCACTACAGACCTGTCTCTTCTCTAGCACTTTGTTGAAATATTTTGCTCCATGGCATTTCCTTTTTCCATGCCCTATCCCACTTCCCAGCTGCATCCCCCTCATCTCCTGATTCCCTGATCTCCCCACAGCACTTTAAGTCCCCCGCTGCTTACCACATTGACCTATGCACTGGAAAAAACCTTGCCCCATTCACTCCCATCCCCTCTCTGCATTATTAAAGCAGGCCACAGGATCCCAGTACTTCACAGGGTGCCTGAAGTGGTCCCCAGGAAGAGTCAATAACACACCTATCATGTGTGGGCAGAAATGTGTATTTTCTCAAATTGTGAAAATCTTATTTTTGTCCCATAATTCAGGCTGAGGTTTCAAAATTACTCCTTGGTCCAAATGAGGATGAAAGTCAGAGTGCCAGAGTGTTACTCAAAATATACCATTTTGAGATACCCCTTTTTTATTTGTTACGCCTTTGGTATATTTCATTTTCCACATAATTTAAAATTGCAGAAAAGTCCAAACCAAAAGTGAAGTTGATAAAACAGCATGCTCAGGTAATTTCTCTTTTTTTTTTTTTTTACAAAATAGATACTTTTCCCACAAAATGCCCAGATTTCTAACCAGAACTTTCTCATAAAACTATTCAGCTGGAAAATTTTCAGCTAGCTCTCATTGAAATCTAGGGCAAATGTATGCCTGTTATCATGTTCTGAATCTCAGCAGATAGATAGTTGTTTCTGCTAAACGGGAGCCTCTAATATTTAGTTTGGATTGGATCAGCTGCTGTAGCAGCACTGTACTCATAAAGGTCTAAGAAAGTAAGATAAGAAAGTCCCTGTTTTGTTGCTGTATTTTTAGAGGATTTTTTTTTCCTTTGGGGCTTTCCTGACCCCGATTAAATGTGTCCTTTGATTGGCCCTTAGTCATGATGCAGGCAGCATCATGTTAGCAGTGGGAGCACCAAGCCTGAGGAACAGTCTGCAGCTCCAGCTAAGAAAGCAAGCAAGGCTCTCAAACCAAAACCATTGGCACAGTCATCTCTCAGGCTGGTGCATTCCCCTTTTTTAGTGTGATGCAGCTGCCCACAGCTCATGTACAAGCATTCAAATAAATTGCACGTACTGGAATATACGTGCCTGTGAGGAAGTTGTGATTGCCAAATTCTAGATTCACACAAAAGTAGCAGAATGATTATTTATTTTTCACTTTTACCTCTGCACCTTCAGTCAGTGCTGTAGAAGTGCCTCAGCTGACATGAAATCTTCTGCCCTGGCGATTGCAGTGGATGCACAACTTTAATCCTCAGCAAGGGCAAAAATAGCAAACAGCGTGGACATCTGCCAGCCCTTCTTTTAGTGGCAGAAGTACTCAAGAAGTGTAGCATTAAGTGATTTAACATTCAAATGACTGACCTTGGAGAGTAACTTCCATAAAATTCAAGAGCTCATCCCAAAAGCATGACCATGACTGTGGAAGGGTGAGAGAAAGGGGGAATCACCTTTTTTTTTAACTGAGTGTTTCATCAATATGCTTATTTGCAGTTCCTATTGTCCTATTAAGAGTTATTTCCAGTGATAGTAGATGCTTCCCTTCTGTTCCCTTGCTCTTCGAGCCCCAAAATCCTTTAAGCAGAACTGTCTGGAAACCAGTGCCTGGCTACTTCACAGAAAAATGGCAAATCCCTCTATGCATTCTAGTGCTGCGACATTAAAACTTAGATCAGCATTAGATCATTAAAAAGAGCTTAACTCTATAGATCTGATGGTTCCTCCACTCAAAAGCACTTCATTGTTCATCCTCTAATTGTCGAAGTTTTATCTGAAGCCAGATGTTTAATTGTCACCTTTTCTGGTCAGCTGTTGGTTTGGCAGTGAGATTTTGGGTCCAGAGGCAAGATTGTGGGAGCAGCCTCTGCACTACTCTACAACACTCCTGTGTCCTCCATGTCCTCTGCTTAACACAGATAATTCCAAACAGCGGGTATGGCAGGCCTCATGTGCATGGTAAAGTCTACAGAAAAGAAACTTCACTGAGCTCTGAATTCAGAGTCGGCATCCTGCAAGCAGACTGAGCCGGTCAAGGGACTTACATATTCTAAAAACAGTAGTTTTTCAGAGAGCAGCTTACTAATTCTGCATAGTTTGTCTGACTGCCATTCACACAGATTTAAATTTCCTGGTATGTCTAGAAAAGAAAAGTGACTTCCAGCTGATCGTTCTGCCTTACCCTGAGTACCCTAAAGAAATGTCAACTCTGGTTTAGATCAAAACGGTGCTACAGCAGGTTTCTTTTCCTGACCTAGATAAGTCTTTACATATTGCAGTAATGGGTGAGGTAGCCAAAAGTCATGGTGAAATCTTGAATTAGGCGATAAGAAACTCCAAAGGCTACAAACAAAGATGTTAACTGAAGATGTGCTATAGAAATTGTGTTATTGTCTCCAGCTGTAATGGAAACTAACATTACAACTTATTTATACAGATTCTTCTGCTCAAAGGAGTTTTGGCATTACTGATATGACATGTTACAAGGAATCTTGAAAACATAGAAAACGCACCTAAATAATTTCTGCTATTAATAGAGTTAAAAATCCTGCTTCCTTTCCCCAAACTGTGTTCCATCCTTTACAACACATAGGCAGATTGTTAAGTTTCAAGTCCATGGTGGTTTGCACTGATCAAATAAGTCACTTTCAGGATTAGAAATTACTTAACCAAAAATGCTCTTTCCATGACCATACGAAAGGAGCAACCTCAGATGTTGCAGTAGCAGAGGGTTGGAGACATTTTCTGTCACAGACCAAAGAAGAATGAGTATGACCAAGTCCACTGCACGTATTTCCTGAGCTGGTGGGAAAAGCTGAGCTTTGTGGCATTCCTTGAAAGCTGGAAGAACTCAGTTCACGTGAGGCAGACTCCAAGGGCTGCCATGAGAGACCCCTGTCAGCCACAGCCTCATAGTATTTGTAATGATGACAGCTGCCTCCACCGTTATCACGGTGGCAATAGGGGGTAATGGCTCTGGTAAGCAGCTTGCAAGGTTCAGGTGGTGAGGGCATGCATGGACACAGGAGTCTGCAGCCTGCAAGGAGCTGCATCAGAGGGATGGGGAGGTCCTGGAGCTGGTCCAGGGGTAGCTGGGAGAGAGCCAATGCCAACTGCTTAAGCAGCAACAGGAGGCTTCTCACCACCAGCATCACCCTCATTCCTGAATTATCAGAGCAATGCTGAGGTTCGGCTCTGTCCAGCAGCACCAGATTCACGGTCAGTAGAGCTGGGGCCCAGCTGCAGCCTCCTTTAGCACGTGCTTGTCTTCAAGGAAACCCTAGTCCCTTTGACTTAGCACTGGGTATGTCCTTAAGTAGCTTATGGAGCAGGGACTGTGTTAGGCTGTGTGCCAAAATCCACAGAACTAAGAGAAAACCCCTCTTAGGTCTTGGATTAGGCATTGGTTTCCTTACCAGCCCTTTCCAGCAGTATTTTTGCCTGCTGTTGGGCGGTTTCTGCACCTTGTCCTGCTGGTCAGTAGGATCTAGGTCATGCAGCCTTCTCCAGAGTCCTGGGGGTACAAGGAGTCAAAAGTGATCAGGTTGTGTTTTTAATTTTTTCCTGTTTTGGAAAACACTGGGTGGCATGTCCTTTTATATCCGTGTGAAAATTCACATACACAGAATATTGCAGATTAATGACAAACTGAATTAAACTTACTTAAAGAAAATGGACAGCTTTGCATGGTGGGACATGTTTGAAAGCAGTCTTGTTTTTATCTTGAGTGTATGTTAGAAGGCAGAGCAATAGAAGGAATAAAGGCTTTTTCAATGCCAATAGTGGGCTGGTCAGTTGCTGGTCTTAGTCTTGAGACAAAATAACTGTATTTGTATATGAAACACATAGATGGTAACTATCAGTCATCAGTTAGATGCAAGTAACTGCTTTTCTCCTGGTCTTCCAACATAAGATTAACATAGGTAAGTCTAGTAGGAAACAGCCTGGATAGTTGCCACGTGTCTTTCCCCTGGTGGTTTGAATCTTCACCCTGTTTAACTGGTTCTCTGTACGACAGTAGCAAGTCTTCATGGAAGAAAAAGAAAAGAAACCAAAGTATGAAACATTCTTTCCCTGCTGTTGGGACTTTAATCATCTTGAGAAAATTGTTTCTAGACCATCCTGGATAACAGTCCTGATGGATCCACCTGCTTGGAGCCAATCCCTGTTTTTTTAAGCTCACATTAGCTCCAGCCTCCCCAGTTGCCTGTGACAGCACAATGAGTGCCATGGCTTAGTTGTGATCTATGTAGAAAATAACTTGATTTTGTTCATATTTGTTTTGTTCAAAGATGCAGCTCTCAGTGAGTTTTGTTGTGCTAGCTAATATTTGTGAAAATTAGTCGCTAGGAGCACAGTTATCCACCACCTTGTATCCTCTATAGTCATTTACCAGGTATAAAATGTAAATAAGTCCAAAAGACAGGAGAGGCCATGAAGAAATAGCATTTGTAATTCGTATTGCATAAATTTAACTGATTGCCTGAGATATGATGCAATAAGAAATTAAATTTGAGTTGTCTCAAAGGCATATCCTACTCAGTAAATCTTGAAAAGGACCACGTTTCAGTCTCCTGAGGAGAACAGAGAAAGGTGCAACTAAGTAATTGTGTCCCAGAGGGGCCCCGCATGATTTTCCCATACTTTTATACATCTCATGCACAGAGGCAGGAGCTAAACAAAACAAATCCCACGAATCCCACAGTCCCCGCCTGAGAAAATCCTCTTCAGCTGACAGTAAAGCAGGGGGAAGAGCAAGCACCATGCTGCTCCTCCCGTGACCTTGACAGACCACCTAATCTCCAAGGCCGGGTGTAATGGGATGGTTTGCCTCTTCCCTGTAGGTGGTAGCCATAGCTGATCATCGGCTTCATAGGACGGAGAAGCTGCAGGCCCACCAGGGTGACCTCCTCCAGGTACTGTACAGCGAAGAGGAGATGCGGGGCTTGGGCCACCTGCAGAGCGGGCAGCAGAGACCCTGCCCTGCCAAGTGTGCTGCCCAGCATGGTAAGTCCACAGAAGTGGCTGTATTCCTGTGTGGCTCCAGAACATTTTTAGATATTGCAGCCTTTCAGCTTCCAGTGAAGCAGGCACTTTGTTATGTACCTGAAGGATACTTCCATGCTTAAAATGTCTGGTGAAATTAATAAGATAACAACCATGGCATTGCAGAGCTCTTGCTTTATTCAGAGTCACAAACTCACTTTATTCAGAGTCGTAAGTGCTCCCTTTGCAAAGGTTGACAATATTTTAGAGATGATAGATTGCAAATTACTGAGTTTGCCTGAGTCATATTTTTATATAAGATCCCTGTTCAGTTGCTTAGAACTTGCCAGAACATAATTATTTGGGATGAAATTTTAAATTCTGGGTGTCAGCCACAACAGACCTGATACTGTTTTTTCAGCCAAAACTTGTTCAGCATATTTGTGAGAACCCATGAAAAAAACCCAGTTTGCCAATGAAAAACCAAGGAAATGAGTAAACATAAATAGACCGATCATCCAACTCCTTCAACACTCGTGTGTTGCGTTTGGAAGGCCTAAACTGGAGCAGAGCCATGCAGTTTGGCAAGGGGTGACCTTTTAATCAAAAATGCATCTTTTGCTCTCCCTTGAAAAACTACACAGATGCATTCAAGTCATAAGCCTTTGAAAAAACTCCCATATGGCACGTGTTTGGTAAATACATTGGACATGTAGCTGTTAAAAAGTGCTAGATCTGTAAAGCGGATACTGCCATGAAGGTGCATGTCTTTCACACCACCAGTCTGCAACTGCACTGCTCATAAGCCATCCCATTTGAACACAGACCAGGCAAGAGCAAGGCTTGGGAGGCTGGGAAGGAAGAAGCTGAGCTTGGGACCTTAGG